AAATCCCGTATCACCTAGTTGACTCACCTAGCTGAGGTTGCAGGGGGTACCAAGCCCTGGCCCCGCCTCTTCACTGGTCGTACTGGTCACTCCCCCTGAACCATGAGCTTTATCTACCTGCTTAAAGCTATTATGGACCCTGCCTCCACACATCCTTCCCAAAAAAATTTCCACTTCCGACTACTCTGTGGCTGAAGAAGTCTTCCTAACACCTGTGATTCTTTGGTGTTTTTCAACTTCCAACTGTTTCCCCATCTCTGGAACTTTTGTTTTTGTCCCCTTGTAAATTTCCTCTAAGAAATTTTTGTATGTCGTTATCAGGGCCCCCCCTATTCCCCTGTCCCCCAGTGTCATCGACTGATTTTCCTTAACCTCTCCTCGGACATACCTTTGCTTGGGTAGTCTTTTTGAAAACCCTTTCCCTTTTCTCTAGTTTTTTACGTACTTGGCTAGGTGGGGTTCCAAACTGGTGCACTACTCCAAAGGGGTAACGTAAAAAGTGTACAGGGTCCTGAACGATTCCTTATTAAGATGTCGGAATGCTGTTTGAGGTTTGCTGCCCCGGCTGCAGCGTTATTTTGGGTTTATGTGCACTTAGGGGAGTGCCTGGTGTTTACTCACCCCCGATCTTTTTCCTTTGGTGAGGTTTGTGTCTTGGCCCCCCGACTGTATTCCGTCTGTGATCTTCTTTGCCCCTTTCCCCCAATCTTCAGATTTGCACTGGTGGGGTTTAACTCCAGGAGCCAATTTTCTGGACCCGGTCTGCGCCCTTCCCGATCCCTTTTTATTGTGCCCTTTTTTTCGTTTTAAAAGAATTTTTCTCTCAACTTCAGTTATCTGCAAACAGGGGGGCACTTCGGAGTCTTCCTTCCATCGTTTTCGTTCAAAATATGTGTGTGTGTGTGTGTGTTGTGTGACTCCTATTTGTACTCACCCATTTGTGGTTGAGGGGTCGAGTCTTAGCTCCCGGCCCGCCTTCACCCGGGTTTCTATGGGGGCCCCTCTCTCCCCCCCCACGACTTTTTCAAACCTCGTCTTAAAACTGTGTATGGTTCCTGCCCCCACACGTCATTTTCTAGGTTTTCACTGCCTTACAACCTATGACGAAGAAATATTCCTAATATCTCTTGACTCATTTTTTCTTAACTTCCAATTGTGGCCCCTTGTTTTTGGGGGTCCCCCCCTGGAACATCCGTCTCTGTCCACCTTTTCTATTCCACGCAGTATTTTATATGTGTTATCACGTCTCCCCTGACCTCCTGTCCCCCAGTGTCATCAGGTATTACCCCCAATCTTTTTTTCATAGGAATTCCCCCCAGCTCTGGAAAACCTTGTCGCAAACCTTTGTACTTTCTTAGTTTCTTGCGTGCTTTTTTCACTGCGGGTTCCAAACGGTGCTGCTACTTCCGTATGGGGCCCGAATACACGGTTTTACGTGTTTGAAAAGATTTCCCTTTTAGGATCGGAATCTGTTCCAGGTTTGCCGGGGGGCCCCTATTGGAGCAGTTTTCTGATTGAATGTTTTCGGAGACATGCTCGGGGTTATACCACCCCCAAGATCTTTCTCCCCGGTGAGGTTTGCAGTCTTTGGGCCCCCTAGCCCATACTCTGTGGTCTTCTGTGCCCTTCCCATCTTCATGACTTTGCATTTTGGGAAGATTTAAAATTTGGGGGAAGCCTTTGCTGGACAGGTGTCCGTCGTCCCGGTCTCTTTGAATTTCCCGCCTGGGCCCCCATCAGATTTAATTCTCCTCATTAACTTCCCCATTTTGCAAAAAGGGACACTTCCGGTCTAACTTCCCTATGTCGTTACAAAACCAAAAAAAAAGCACTGGGCCCAGGACCAACCCCCGTGGGACCCCGCTCGTCACAGGTGCCCACTGTGATACATCATTACGTACCATGACTCGTTGTTGCCTCCCTGTCAGGTATTCTCTGATCCATTGCAGTGCCCTTCCTGTTATATGCGCCTGATGCTCTAGCTTCTGCACTAATCTCTTGTGAGGAACTGTGTCAAAGGCCTTCTTGCAGTCCAAGAAGATGCAATCAACCCACCCCTCTCTCTCGTGTCTTACTTCTGTTATTTCATCATAAAACTCCAGAAGGTTTGTGACACAGGATTTGCCTTCCGTGAATCCGTGCTGATTGGCATTTATACTCTTGTTCCGTTCCAGGTGCTCCACCACTCTCCTCCTGATAATCTTCTCCATAATTTTGCATACTATACACGTCAATGACACAGGTCTATAGTTTAGTGCCTCTTTTCTGTCTCCTTTTTTAAAAATGGGAACTACATTTGCCGTCTTCCATACCTCAGGTAGTTGCCCAGTTTCCAGGGACGTGTTGAAGATTGTGGTAAGTGGCCCGCACAACATATCTGCTCCCTCTCTAAGGACCCACAGGGAGATGTTGTCCGGTCCCATTGCCTTTGAGGTATCGATGTCCCTTAGCAGTTTCTTCACCTCCTCCTCATCTGTATGTATGTCGTCCAACACTTGTTGGTGTATTCCTTGCTGGTGTCCCCATCTGGTCTGTCCCCCTAGAGTCCTTCCTGTCCTTCTGTAAATACTTCCTTAAATCTCGTGTTGAGCTCGTCACATACCTCTTGATCGTTTCTTGTGAGTTCTCCACCTTCTTTCCTCAGCCTTATCACCTGGTCCTTGACTGTTGTCTTCCTCCTGATGTGGCTATACAGCAGTTTCGGGTCAGATTTGACTTTCGATGCTATGTCGTTTTCATACTGTCGCTGGGCCTCCCTCCTTATCTGTGCATACTCGTTTCTGGCTCTTCTACTAATCTCCTTGTTTTCCTGGGTCCTATGCCTCCTGTACCTTTTCCATTCTCTGTTGCACTTAGTTTTTGCCTCCCCTACACCTTCGGTAAACCAAGGACTCGTTTTGGTCTTCCTATTATTTCTGTTTCCCTTGGGAACAAAACTTTCCCTGCCTCCTTGCACTTTGTTGCCACATATTCCATCATCTCGTTTACTGATTTTCCTACCATTTCTCTGTCCCACTGAACCTCCTGCAGGAAGTTTCTCATACCTGTGTAGTCCCCCTTTTATAGTTTGGTCTGTCCCTTCAGTTCCTGTTCCTTCTCCACTTGTAACTCTACTATATAATCAAAACTCAGAACCACGTGATCGCTAGCTCCAAGGGGCCTCTTGTAAATGATGTCCTCAATGTCTGAACTGCTCAGGGTGAACACAAGATCCAGTCTTGCTGGCTCATCCTCCCCTCTCTCTCTGGTTGTGTCCCTGACATGTTGATGCATGAGGTTTTCAAGTACCACATCCATCATCTTGGCTCTCCATGTTTCAGGACCCCCATGTGGCTCCAGGTTTTCCCAGTCGATCTCCCTGTGGTTGAAATCGCCCATTACCATAACTTTGCCTCTGCTCGAGTGAGCTCTTCTTGCCACCTCAGCCAGTGTGTCCACCATCACCCTGTTGTTTTCTTCGTACTCCTCTCTTGGCCTCCTGCAGTTCTGTGGTGGGTTATACATCACTCCAATGACTACTTTATGTTCTCCAGACTGAATTGTACCTACAATGTAGTCTTTCTCCAATCATGTCCATGCCTTCCATTTCCTCAAATCCCCATCGGTGTTTTATGAGCAGTGCAACCCCTCCTCCCCCTCTACTCCTATCTTTCCTCAGGATCTGATATCCCATTGGGAAGATTGTGTCTGTTATTGTCTCAGCGAGTTTTGTTTCTGTGACTGCTATGATGTCTGGGGATTTTTCACTGATTCTTTTGTTCCACTCCTCATGTTTATTCGTTATTCCATCCGCGTTTGTGTACCAAACTTTCAGTTTCTTTTCTATCATTGTGGTCATGCAAGAATATTGGGGTTGGGGGAGCGAGAGCCTTGGTGGGGGCCTATATGGGGCTGTGGTGTAGGTGGGGTTTGTGATGATGGGGGTGGGGTCAGAATGCCCATAAGGGACAGCTGTTGGGGTCAGGTTTGTGATATGGGGGTTGGTGGCAGAGGGAACAGTGAGTGGGTTGTAGTATAGGTTGCTCAGTTGCGTTGGGAATGTGTGTGCATGTGTGTGCATGTGTGTGCATGTGTGTGCATGTGTGTGCGTGCATGTGTGTGCATGTGCATGCGTGAGTGCATGTGGAGGGAGTAGAGGAGGTTTTGAGTGCTAGAGGTATGGGCATCTAACAGGCTTGTGTGTATACCTGGAATATATCTGGAGGGTGTTCTGGGGGTCAACATTTATGACCAGGCCTTGCAGTGGATCAGGGCCTGATCAACCAGGCTAATACTGCCAGCCACATGCAAACTGACATACAAACCACAGCCCGGCTAGTCTGTACATCAAGTAATGACTTTCGGTGCTTATCTAGCTCCCTCTTGAAGACAGCTAGGTGTCTACTGGTAATCCCCCTTATGTATGCTGGGAGGCAGTTGAACAGTCTTAGGCAACTTACTGTGTTGTTTCTTAGTGTATTCATGGTACCCCTGCTATTCATTGGGGGGCTGTTGCATTGCCCGCCGAGTCTTGCTTTCACAGGGAGTGATTTCTGTGTGCAGATTTGGGACTAGTCCTAGTGTGTATTATGATGTATCTTTCTCACTTGCACTCCAAGGAATACAGGTCAAGGGACTTCAACCATTCCCAGTAATTTATGTTAGGTTAAGGTAGGTCAGATAAGTGTGTGTTAGATAGGAGTGAATAGAGGCAAGTGGATTTTATGATTTAACATGATGTTGGGGTGTAAGCAAGATAACATTTATGAATGGATTCAGAAAAAAGTTATCTGGACTTAAAGTCCTGGAAGTGGGAAGTACAGTGCTTGCACTGTGATGGAGGGGTAGTTTGGAGGGTTATCTACATTGTAATGCCAGCATACTTCTGGCAAGACAGTGACTGAATGAGTGACAGTGAAAGTGTTTTCCTCTTTGTCGGATCACCCTACCTTGATGGGATACAATCAGTGTTAAAAAATAAATGTTTACCATGTAAGAGATTACACAGACCCTCAACTTACTTGGGAATAATTCACATGCAAATGCCCTGGATGCAGTACAATCCAAGTTGTTCCACTTGCCATGAGCAGGATCAGTAGGGTAGTCAATGCACTCAACACAATTCTCAGTGTCACTGTTGGGTTCTCCCTCATTCCAGTTAGTGTAGTTATTGACCTGGCCATCACTCCAGATCCACTGGTCAGATATTTGGTTGTAAGAGAGGCCTAGCCAAGTAGCATCACTCTTGTGTGTTAACTGCTCTGTGGAGGAAATGTTAGGTTAAAAGCCTTCACAAATATGCTGAATGTTTGAGAATATAAAGAAAGAAATAAGCATTACGTTCAATGCCCAGCCTGCAAAGATGTACACAATATGGCTAAAAAATTTAGTTACAAAATTAATTTTTAAATACAGTAGAACCTCCATATCTACTGATTCAGTATCCATGATTTCAGTTATCCATGGTTTACTGTGGTCCAAAAATACCTCTTAAATTTGCATAATGGCCCCAAAGCGCAAAAGTAGAAAAGTTGGCATTTCTTCATAGCCTAAGAGAAGCCGTAAAGTACTTTCCATCAATGAAAAAGTGATAATTCTCCACTTATTGTGAATAATTTATCAATTAAACTTTATAATACGTAAGTATAGGACTTATATATAGGGTTTGCTACAATCCGCGGTTTCAGTATCTACTGCAGGTACAGGTCGGCCATCACAAATCTGGCATCATTGGGACCTGTAGTGTGCCGGATTAGTGAGTTTGCCGGACTGTAGAGTGGTTAGGTTAGAATACACTAAACCCTTTGACTGTTGGTGTTGTTTATATACGTCTTACAAGCCAGTATCACTGACGTATTAATATGCCAAAATCCTAGTGGCTTCAAATCAAGCGGGAGAAAGCTGGTAGGCCCACATGTGAGAGAATAGATCTGTGTGATCAGTGTGTACAGTATAAAAGAAATCCTGCAGCATGCAGTGCATAAAAAAAAACTCTGACCATGTTTTTGGAATAAAACGCCGACTTTGAGGAGCATTTTCGTATAGTATTTATGGTTGTATTCTCATTTTCTTGATCTCAATTGACAGAATAGAAGACATAGTACAGAAATGGAGATGACTTTGATTGCTTTCACGATGAAAAAGGCCTTAAAACTAAGCTCAAAGTAGCAGAAATGTTCGATTTTTGCTGATGTTCAAGAGTAAACAAATGACGTCACCGCCCAATAAGTGTCCAACTAGCCATTCTAATGTGCAGTCATGAACGGGATGATATTATTTATACAATTATTACAATAATGCAGTAGTCTGCATAACAGTAAATCTTTTATTTTTTGTGTGAATAAAAATTTCAAATAGAAAGCAAGAGTAATATAAAAGGGACCTGGAGACGTGGCTAATGAACAGAGAAAATGTTATTTTAGTGTCAGGAATGTCTGCATTGTTTATTCTGGACCCTATTTTGAAATTGGCATTTTGTTTAATTTACATGAAATTGGCCAGACCGCCAATTTCTGACCACTTTATTGGATAGTTGAAATCACCAAATGGGTGGTTTCTTATACTCAGTCGATAGAACAAATGGAATTCTAAAGAAATAGCTATGAGTTTGGTCAACTGGAACAATGAAATTGGCCGAAAATAGGGCTCAAATTGGGCAAAATCGCAAATACGTATATATCACCGAGATCACTAACTTCGCAAGAGCATAATTCCGTAAGTTTTCCATCAAATTTTATACTTTTGGTGTCATTACCATTGGGAAAAGATTCTTTATCATTTCACAGGAAAAATCATTTTTTTTTTTCAAATATTTTGCAGCACAGACACTGCAGGATTTGGGGTCTCAACAGTTAAAGGGTTAATTAACCTATCAACAGAGACTCTTTCTGCTACATCTTCCTCATTTTCATCACTGCTTTCTCCTCCACTGGCTTGCTGCTGTGGATTTACAACCATCTGCACAATTTGCGAGTCAGTATAATGATTAAATTTGAGTCAGTAATGTATAATGATGAAATTTGAAATTATGCTAGCTGAAATTAGTGCCGGGTTACTGATGGAACCGGATAACTGATTGCCAGATTAGTGATGGCCGACCTGTACTTCAAACACATCCCCCGCTGATACGGGGGTCCTATGGTAAATATTACATTTGTGATAAGAGCACAATTAAAGTATATAATCCTCCATAGTAAATAATAAACAAAAATAATAAAATTAATAATAATAACAATAATAATAATACCCTTATACGACTGTACTGTATATACAGTGGACCCCCGGTTAACGAACTTTTTTCATTCCAGTAGTATGTTCAGGTGCCAGTACTGACCGAATTTTTTCCCATAAGGAATATTGTGAAGTAGATTAGTCCATTTCAGACCCCCAAACATACACGTACAAACGCACTTTCATAAATACACTTACATAATTGGTCGCATTTGGAGGTGATCGTTAAGCGGGGGTCCACTGTATAAGCAAAATGAACTTAATATAGATAATTGTATATACATACATCAAGAGATATGCAGTCTATCAGGGTATATACACTGAGTAACGTCAGAGTAAATACCTAAATATTAAAGCAGTCTTAAGGTTAGGGTACAGGTGAATTGCAAGTGCAGTTGATAGACTTCAAACCAACAAAATAGACTAACATAAAATTGCTTTTAAATTAACAACACTTACCAGTGAAGAAAGCATTTTCTTCATCGGAGTGGATACTGACGAGGTCAGCCTCAGTATTATATTCTTTACACTTGTCTCTCGCCTCATTCCAAGTAATCTCAAAGTCACTAGCAAAATAACACTTCCCATTCTTGTATGCCCATGTTTGTGGACATGTTGCTGAAAGGGAAAAATTTTTATACAATAGCCCTTCTAGCAGTAGAGTATTTATGACACCCTCACCCTCCATATATCTCACAGGTTACTCCTTCTCCATTTATGACACTTTTTTTTTTTTATTTTATCATATCCAGCAGGTTTCTCATGATTCAGAAGGTACAATGTGTTTGGCTAGAGGTGGCATAATCCTAAAGAAATCAAATTTTTTATCTGATGTGTCAATTCTGCACGTGCACTCAATACTATTTTCATTAATCTATGCCTATGAGATGTATGAGCAAATCTCTTTACACCTGTTACCCTTATTTATGTAGCAGTAAAGAGATACTGAGTTGTTAGTCAACTGTTTTAAGCATGGGTGAAAGTATTATCCACAGGGCTGAAGAGGGGATACTGAAGTGGTTCAGACATTTAGAAAGGATGGAACAAAATAGAATGACTTGGAGGGTGCATAAATCTGTAGTGAAAAGAAAGTGAAGTAGAGGTCATCCTAGGAAAGGTTGGTGGGAGGGGTAAAGGAGGTTTTGAGTGCTAGGGGCTTAGACTTCCAGTAAGTATGCATGAGCATGTTAGATAGGAGTGAGTGGAGACAAATAGTTTTTAAGACTTGACGTGCTGTTGGAGTGTGAGCAAAGTAACATTTATGAAGGAATTCAGGGAAACTGGTAAAGTGGACTTGAGTCCTGGAGATGGGAACTACAGTGCCTGAGCTCTAGAGGAGTAGAGATATTTTGGCAGACTTTAACTGTAGTGTTGGCATGCCTCTGGCAAGACAGTGATGGAATGAACAATGATGAAAATGTTTCTTCTTTTTCAGGTCACTCTGCCTCAGTGGAAAAAAGTATCCTTAGGTCATCAAATGCTCTTCTACTGAAACCTGTCCACCACCCACTTATAACAATACTATTAAATGATCTATTTTTAGTTTATGTACAACAGAGACATTGTTAGTATTGTGACTGTCCACAGCATACAACTGTTATTCAGTCTAATATTCATAAAAACAACACATCTGATCACTGTATACCTTGATACGGTGGAACCTCGGTGTTTGTATGCCCTAGTTTGTATGTAAAACTATAGTTATTCTCTATAAAATGTATTTTTTGTTAATATTTCCCATAAGAAACAATGTAAATCCAATTAGTCCATTCCAGACACCCAAAAATATTAACAAAAAATACATTTTATAGAGAATAACTGTAGTTTTACATACAAACTAGGGCATATGAAAACCGAGATTCCACTGTACATCCATCACAAGGAATTTTGCATACACTTGCCTCTGCATCACAGGATGAGCATAGGGTGCACGATAAATTAGCAGCTCTGGCAGAATGACTAACTAAACCTGCCTCTGCACGACTATCTCTAAACAGTTTCTTAATCTTCAATGTCACCAATCATTAATAATATTCTAGTGGATGTCAATATGCATGCACCTCTAACTCTCCATGTAATGCTATTCTTCTCCCTTTCATTGAATGTTTGAAGACATACTCATCACCCCACCTAAGCCAGGTGGTTGCACTCACAGACCCCATCTGAGAGGTCATGGGTTCAAGCCCTAGGGGAGTATCAGTACTCTAACATTTCACAGAAACACATTTTTTATATACAAGAGGGCCCCAGTTTTACAGAAGGTTAGGTTCCGGGCTGCTACTGTAAAGCAAAAATTGCTGTAAAGTTAATCATAGTCTTTTTTCACTTTCAAATGTACATAAAAGCTTGATACCATGTTTACACTATCATATATTAAGTAAATAATATAGCAAGGCCTATGAAATGCATATACAATACACACATTACTTACCTTAAAATACTTTCATCCCTAGCTTAATTGAGTGGTGAATATGTTTATTGTAGGAAGTCTGAATAAATGAAGAATGGATATAATTGAAAACCGCTGTATCAGTGAAATGCTATAAAGGGAAGTGCTGTAAAGCAGAGTCTGCCTATACTGTCATTCCTAGCAGTTTAATCTTTAATTATTTACAAATTACATATACCAAGAGAACTGAGATTAAACAGTAAAGTACTTACTGACAGTAATTTTACATATATAATAGTTGGTTTCGGAACAGCGCATATCATTCCACTGGTTGCCATAGTCATACCTTTTCTGTTGGAGGGAAGAACACAACCTTGTAAGAGACATGATTACCTTCATAATCATAATAATAATCATAATCATAATCATAATCTTTATTTCAGCATGATACAATCTTTGTATAGAGATGGATGACAATTATGTGTGCTTGAAGAAAGCCCATTAGTGTGCAGTGCATTCTGGGCAAACTTAAGCCTACCTTAAGACTAAAAAGGCAATAGCTAATTAATGGCTTATATATACTCAGGTTAGGGTGTGTAGAAGAGAGGGAGATTATTTCCCAGTAAAAGTAGGTCTTAGACAGGGATGTGTAATGTCACCATGGTTGTTTAACATATTTATAGATGGAGCTGTAAAAGAAGTAAATGTTAGGGTGTTGGGGAGAGGGGTGGGATTAAATTATGGGGAATCAAATACAAAATGGGAATGGACACAGTTACTTTTTGCTGATGATACTGTGCTTTTGGGAGATTCTAGGGAAAAGTTGCAAAGGTTAGTGGACGAGTTTAGGAGGGTGTGTAAAGGCAGAAAGTTGAAAGTGAACATAGATAAGAGTAAGGTGATGAAGGTATGAAACGATTTAGATAAAGAAAAATTGGATATCACATTGGAGGGAGGGAGTATGGAAGAAGTGAATGTGTTCAGATATTTGGGAGATGGCTTGTCAGCAGATGGGTTGATGAAGGATGAGGTTAACCACAGAATTGATGAAGGAAAAAAGGTTGAGTGGTGCGTTGAGGTATCTGTGGAGACAAAAAAAAACGTTATCCACGGAGGCAAAGAAGGGAATGTATGAGAGTATAGTGGTACCAACACTCTCATATGGGTGTGAAGCATGGGTTATAAATGCTGCAGCGTGGAGTAGGCTAGAGGCAGTGGAGATGTCGTGTCTAAGGGCAATGAGTGGTGTAAATATTATGCATAGAATTCATAGAGTGGAAATTAGGAGGAAATTAGTTATCGTCAGAGGGACGATAAAATCGCCAAACAAACTGTTTTAGCGTAAAAATTTTGGCCCGACCAACGATGAAAAATTCGACTAACAACATTCATCCCGAACACATCCACGTGTCCATCTGGCCTGAGAGCGCCTTAGCTGCCCTGCCTTCAGTTAGTGTGCCAGTATTTACAAGCCAGTGCGGTCGTTTCCATGCATATACAGTGGACCCCCGGTATACGATATTAATCTGTTCCTGAGAGCTCATCGTATGCCAAAATTATCGGAAGGCGCATTAATTTTCCCCATAAGAAATAATCAAAATCAAATTAATCCGTGCAAGACACCCAAAAGTACTATGAAAAAAAAAGTTTTGCCACATGAAATATTAAGTTTAATACACACAAACTGAAGAAGACATGCACAGTTAGTAGTAGTCTACTAACAACAGAATACATGACACTTACCTTTAATGAAGATCTGGTGATGATTGATGGGATGGGAGTAGGGGAGAGTGTCGAAAATGTTAACGTTTAGAAGGGAAATCCCCTTCTATTAGGACTTGAGGTATTAAGTCCTTTTCCGGGGTTACTTCCCTTCTTCTTTTAATGCCACTAGGACCTGCTTGAGAGTCATTGGACTTCTGTCGCACAACAAATCTGTCCCTAGAGCTCTGTACCTCCCGTTCCTTTAAGATTTGTCTAAAATGGGCCACAACATTGTCATTGTAATAGTCACCAGCACAGTTTGCAATAGCTGTGTTAGGGTGATTTTCATCCATAAAGGTTTGCAGTTCAACCCACTTTGCACACATTTCCTTAATTTCTGAAGTAGGCACAATGGATTCCACAACTGGCATAGGATTCTCAGGGTTAGCCCCAAACCCTTCAAAATCTTTCTTAATTTCCATACTAATTCTCACCCTTTTTACCACAGGGTTGGCACTAGAAGCTTTCTTGGGGCCCATGGTGACTTATTTTGCAGAAATAAGCACCAAAAACACTGTGATAATATGGAATGTACCGAATGTATGCTGAGATGCGAGCACACTGGCTGGCTTGTAAACACTGGCACTCACGTGGACGCGTCCCGGACGAATCACGTGTGGCGGGTTTTTTAACAAGTGGCGAGGCAAAATTTTTGCGTCAAAATGTATCAAATACCGGATTTAACGTATACCGATGCCATTGAATGCCAGGGGTCCACTGTATTCGGTACATTCTGTATTCCAGTTTTTTTAGTGTTTGTAACTGGTAAATAAGCCACCATGGGCCCAAAGAAAGCTTCTAGTGCCAACCCTGTGGTAAAAAGGGTGTGAATTACAATAGAAATGAAGGAGATAATCACAAAGTATGAAACTGAGCTGGCCAGGTTGTATAACAAACCCCAATCAACCATCACTACTATCTTGGCCAACAGAAACGCAATCAAGGAAGCTGTTGTTGTGAAAAGTGCAAGTATATTTTCGAAACAGAGATCACAAATACTTGAAGATGTTGAGAGACTGTTGTTGTTGCGGATAAGTGAAAAACAGATATCAGGAGATAGTATCTCTCAATCAATCATACATGTATGTGAAAAGGCAAGGCAGTTGCATGATGATTTAATTAAAAAAATGCCTGCAACTAGTGATGATACTGAATTTAAAGCCAGCAAATCAATCAAATCAAATCAAAGTTTATTCTCTATAAGGATTACAATGCAGGGTTTACAGATTTTGGTTATTGTATGGTTTACTTGTAGTAAAATACTAATTACAGAGGGGGCCACTAGAATAGTGGCTAGGCATTTCGGGCAAACTTAGATTAATTCTTAACCCTAAATTATAACAAATTGTGGAGTAAGTTGACTAAATACTAAGTGATGAATATTATTTTGTGAGTTTAGCAATGTGAATGCTTTTGTTTTGGCACAATACATAGTTTCTATATTGGAGTATCACAAGCAAATTTATGACTAGTTAGGAATCATTATTTTATGATTAGGATACGTATTTCTATGCTTATAGTCAAATGGGTGAGTGAGTGAGTGTAAATGTGGACCACCAGGTGGCTTTTATGTAGTTAGTTGATGGGGTGTATCAGGGAGATAAGATGTTTTCTAACAGCACACATTCATCACCTTCAAAACTACTGTTTTGAAGGTGATGAATGTATGCTGTTCTAGAGTTTTCAGGTAGAGTGTTCCAGATTTTAAGGCCTTTGACATACATTAAGTTTTTGTAAAGGTTTAGTCGGACACTGGGGATGTCGTAGAAATGTTTGTGTCTGGTGTTATGCCTGTGGGTCCTGTCACAACTATCAAGAAAGCATTTTAGGTCAAGGTTAATATTGGAATTTAAGGTCCTGTATATGTAGATTGCACAGTAGTAAGTGTGGATGTTCTGAACAGGGAGAAAGTTTAGATCTATGAAGAGTGGGGGGGGGGGGGTGACGCCAGGGATGGGCATTAGTGATTATTCTTATTGCAGCTTTTTATTGAGTTATTATTGGCTTTAGGTGTATTGCTGCAGCTGATCCCCAAGCACAAATAGCATAGGTGAGGTATGGATAAATGAGTGAATGGTAAAGTGTGAAAAGGGCATTTTGCGGCACGTAGTAACGTATCTTGGACAGGATCCCAACTGTTTTGGATACTTTTTTTGATATGTGTTGGATATGGGTGCTGAAATTCAGGTTGTTGAGGTATAGGCCTAGGAATTTGCCCTCATTATGTCTGGCAATTAGAGTGCTGTCAATCTTAATGTTAAGTTGCGCAGCACCTGCTCTGCTACCAAACATAATATAGTAGGTTTGGTCAGTGTTAAGTGTAAGTTTATTGGCTGCCATCCAAGTTGATATTTTGAGAAGCTCCTCATTAACAATGGTATTGACGGTGGCAAGATTAGGGTGAGAGATGACATAAGTCGTGTCGTCAGCAAAGAGAATGGGTTTCAGGTGTTGGGATAGGTTTGGAAAATCACTTGTGTAAATGTAGAAGAGCAGGGGTCCAAGGACACTTCCCTGCGGAACTCCAGCATCAAGTGGCTGTGTTGACGATGCTGTGTCTTTAACCCTTTGACTGTTTTCGACGTATAAATACGTCTTACGAGCCAATGTTTCTGACGTATATATACTCAATAATTCTAGCGGCTTCAAATCAAGTGGGAGAAAGCTGGTAGGCCCACATGTGAGAGAATGGGTCTGTGTGGTCAGTGTGCACCACATAAAAAAATCCTGCAGCACACATTGCGTAATGAGAAAAAAAAACTCTGATCGTTTTTTTGGAATAAAACGCCGACTTTGAGGTGTATTTTCGTATAGTATTTATCGTTGTATTCGCGTTTTCATGGTCTTAGGTGATAAAATGGAAAACATATTACAGAAATAGAGATGATTTTCATTACTTTTACGATGAAAACGACCTTGAAACTGAGCTCAAAGTAGCGGAAATGTTCGATTTTTACCAATGTTCAAGAGTACATAAATCACACAACACGTCCAATACACGTCAACTGGGGAGTCTAATATTCTTTCACTAGTGCACTGATATTATTTATACCATTTTTACAATAATGCAGTCGTCTGCATAACAGTAAATTTTGTATTTTTTTGTATGAATAAAAAATCAAAATAGAAAGCAATAATAATATAAGAGGGGCCTAGAGATGTGACTAATGAACAGAGCATATGTTATTTTAGTGCCACGAATGTCTACCTTGTTTATTCTGGACCCTATTTTGAAATTGGCATCTTTTTTATTTTGTGTGAAATTGGCCAAATTGCCAATTTCTGACCACCATATTGGGTAGTCCAAATTAGTAAATGGGAGGTTCTTGTACTCAGCTGATAGATAAAATGGAGTTCTAAAGAAATAGCTATGAGTTTGGTCAACTGGAACAATGGAATTGGCTGAAAATTGGGCTCAAAGTCGGCGAAATCGCCGATACGCATATGTCGCCGAGACCGCTAACTTCGCGGGAGCATAATTCCACGAGTTTTCGACCAAATTTCGAACTTTTGGTGTCATTACCATCGGGAAAAGATTCTCTATCATTTCATAAGAAAAAATAATTTTTTTTTTTTTCAAAAATTGA